TCTTAAATGGTATGTACACTGATGTGAAATTTTTTGTTTCTGCAGTCTTCTAGTTTAAAGCAGACGAAGACTTTGTGCGGAGCTATTGTTTAGTTTCACGGAGAAGACTGAATCTTCTTTTTTTGGATGCGAACAGTTAGTATTTAAGCAATGTGGATGGGTAAACAGCAAATTTAAACCGTTCAACAAATCTTTTAATAGAATAACGATAATTGATTGTCTGGTTGTTTGTTTATTTATTCATTTATTTACTTTGATGAAACCGATTAAACGTTTAAAAAATGATCACGATCGAAGAGGTGCTGAAAATATCGAATAATCTCCTGTGAATGAATCAATGGAGAGGAAAACAGATCATAAAATTAAATGAGTATATGTTAAATCTTGAAAGTAAATTGTTGAAATGAATTTGCCACAAATGTCAGAAAATGATCCAAAATTATTCGAAAAATCTCATGCTTATCTAGATTATTTGCCTGTTTATATATGTACATGATTGGGCACTTGTAAGAAGAAGAACTGATTATTTTTGAAAGGAATTTGCATACGGAATCAAATCATCAATTGTGTTTTGATGTTGAAAATTTCCATTCAAAAGTGAATAAATGAGATGAGGAGCAATACAATTAGAAGACGACTGTTTATTAGGAAATTATTGCAGATATGATCAAACGAATGCTTATTACAATGCAACATGCAAACAAGCGTATTGTATTAAAAGATTGAAAGCATATCGGTCAGATGTGCTCTGCGGGATCAAAATTGTAATCACAATGGACGAACGCTCGTTCGACATACGGCAATCGCTCAAGTTTCAATTGTAACGGTTCTGAGATATCGTGCGCTTGCTGAAGGGATAAGTCACGATCCATTACCTGCAAATTCAACCACATCGACATTTCGAGTGCATGACGAATGACCAGTTCTTAGCGATAAGTCATGATTATTGAGGGATAGTGATTTAGAAGATGAAGGTACGCCTGAAGCTAACAATAGATAGCATAATGACATAAAGGATAAGAATAAGTATTCTATCATCATTCAGGATTATCTTTAATTTCCATCTGTATTTCTTTTCTAAATGGTTGACTTCAATTCACTGAACTGGTCAGCAAAATGAGAAGTTTTGCGATAAAACGAGGAATTTTACTATTCAAGTTTCAGTTTTTGTTGCAATTCATTGCAATATACTAGGCAACAGTTCGATTGTCCAAACGATCACCAAACACTGAACATTGCGTAACGAAACCAAATGCAATGCTGACATGAGCAATGAATTTATTCAGAATCGGACGTACCACATGCAACTCAACCAAAAATTTCGAGCCGAGATGATACACGTAAAGTGTATCGATAAATTTAATGCGTTCATCATGTTCGATTGCAATTTTCGTGATTCGATTCATATATTCCGGCTTTGCCGTCTTTCCGATTAGCAGTGGAATCTGTTGACGCGCATTTTTCACCCATCCAAACGCTATCAAACTGCTGCAAAAGGAACTGCTGAACTTCAAACTGAATTTAGAAGAGTGGTCGACAGCTGAAATCACTCAGAACCACAGGACAAGTTCTCTTCTTTTGTCTCTAGTGAAAGGTTTGGTGACCCGTCAAATTTAAGAGTTTCTAGTGCTTTCACGAATGTTTCTAGTGTTTCTGGTGCTTTCTAGTGCTCTAGTGAGAAATCATGTTACTCAACGTTACACGGGTTACCAAATCCCCCGTCGTGGAAAGAAAAGATTCTCTGTGATGAAATGAAAGAAGAATACATCATTTGCGTTACTCTTCTTACTATCGTCTTTTTTTGCAGAGTGTCTAGTTCCCATTCAACTGGCACTCAAAAATGAAACAACCATCCTACATTGATGAAATTATTAAAGGCGATAAGCCAAAACAACACGAACCATATAACGAATGCACCTAAAGGATCCGCATAAAGCCAGTATTTGCTGCTAACGTATGCCGCAACAATGGCAACAGCATTAGTAATAATATCACTGCATTGATCAAACGCTAGAATTCGAGTGTTCGGTGATGGATGCCTTCGACATGCGACGTACAAAATCAATTTCAGAAGTGTACCGAATGCGATAATCGATATCGTTTCAATATTCATCATAACACCCACCTGCAAGTTTGAAAAAGAAACGTCCAAATTAAGATGGTGCAAAAATTGGAATCAGTTGATTGGTTTGTAATCAGTCTGAAATGTCGTAAGGATTTGACTTATGAGTAGGTACGAGTCGGTCAACTTATGAGTAGGTCAAACGGGAACTGTGACATCGTTTTCCACATTTTCAAGGATAAGTAAGAACTTGATGTAGATTATATCGGATGCGGAAGATTTCTTCACAATAACATATCCATAATGCACTGCATAATGGGCTATGTTCAATCGCTATTGCAGTCGAAAGAAGATGGCGAACTAACCGTATTATCAATTATGGAAATCATCGATTCACCAATCATGAAAAGATTAGCCATAACCATAATGACCGAGACAATCAGAATGGTCAATGGTTCCAATCTGAACAATCATTATGAGATCATATGATTAGTGTTGATGGCTACTAGTCCTGTTCTTGAATCTAACAAACTGTTAACTTTGCGAGGCTTCTCCTGGGGAATTGCGATTAAAAGAATGCCTCAATGAAATTCACTGCAGTGATATTCAATACGAGTAATCTTGAATAATAAAGGAACTGAAGTTGCTCCGAGTTTCGTGGCCCATTTAATTTGTCTGCTGAGAAAGCGAGATTCTTTTGAATACTAATGATAATAGTGAAGTGTCGTGCCTATTTCGTCCAATCGGATATTGATAGCGATTCGTTTTTTGCACCTTTCGGACACAAAAATACACAACCGTTCCACTTGTGATATCCATCACACTATCAATCAGCGTACTGATAATCGATAGTGATCCCGATAAGTAAGATGCTATACTTTTGCCGAGCAACATCAGCACATTGACCACAAGCGAAGTCCACGATAGCAGTTTGTCCCATTTCTGAACGAATTTCAAAGTGAAATATTTTTTAATTTGATATAACATTCACTTGTTGCTTTTAGCACAAGTTTTTTGAAACTTAACTGAGTACGGATTTTTCTGTTGTAGCAGCAGGTACTTCGCAAGCTTGAATTCTCACGGTCGACATTTATTACATTCAAACAATCGCAGCATGTTGCGCGAACATTTATTACATTCAAACAATCGCAGCATGTTGCGCGAACATTTATTACATTCAAATAATCGCAGTATGTTGCATAGGAGGTGAAATTACCCATTTTGGGTAATTTGGAGGTGTCAAGGGTTAATGGAGGGGTCGAG